CTCATCAACATGGCTACCTAAACATGAGCTGGTGGGGACGACAATAGACATGGAGGAGTGGCTGGGGAAGCCAGGAGACCTCAGCCCTACACAAAGAACTACAGCAACTCAGGAATACCGAGAGCAGGAGAAACAGTCTTCCAGGGAAAAGCCCACCAATTGGTCATCCAATACCAACTGGTCAGCCCCCAAAACATATAAACAAGTAACAGTATAGAGACTGAGCGGTTAGCACTCACGTATTCAGTTCAGGTATGTATGGGGTATATATACAACACACACACACACACACACACACACACACATATGTTATATGTGTGTAATAACAACTAATGAAAAAAAAGAGACCATGAATTTGAGAGACAGCAAGGAAGATGGAAGAATTATGAGAGGGTTTGGAGTGAGTAGAGGGAGAAATGATGGAATTATAGTATAATCTCAAGAAATAAAAGAAATAGCTTGGAAAAAGTTTTACACTGAGGGTACACACACACACACACACACACACACACACACACACACACACACTCACACTCAGCCTGATGGACCATGCGTGCAAATCCGGTACTTGGGAGGCTCAGGCAGGAGGATGAGGTGTTCAAGGCCGTCCTTGGCTTATATCCTGCTGTTTGATGTCTTGAGACCCAGTCTCAAACAACAGATATGTAAACAAACACACGAGTAGCTCTGGGCTGGTGGAGGAGGGCTGAGTAGCACACAGCAAGCCTTGTGTTCATCTCCTGATTGAGTAATGAAGAAGGAAGCAGGAGGTGATGAGGCCTCTGGCAATATTACGTTGGCAAGTCGGCACGGTTTTGTTTGTTTGAGACAGGGTCTCACTGTGTAGTCCTGACTGGCCTGGTAAATGCAGGTTAGGTCGGTTGGCATGTGTGCAGCCGGCCTGTCTCTGTCTCCCGAGGGTGCTGGAATCAGTGTCAGTCATCTCTTTCAGCTGATTTAGAACTTCTGCTTGGGAGCAACGCCGATGGTGGGTGTTGCATTGGATCTCTGCTCACTGTCATTGTCTAAAGCCACCTGGCTGTAACTAACTTCGGCAAGGCTCAGATGAAGGGTTCTCCCATGTGCCTGGAAGGCAGAACCTGGGAGGATTGATAAGCAGCCTGCCCGCCTCCCACACTGGGTGTCCTGATAACCAGTTCACGCATCCCATTTATACCCCACACCGACCTCTGCCGGCCTCCAGTTCTCTGTCACTTGAACTCCTCCATCCTACTGTGGTCCTGGCTTCTGGATTTGAACTCATGGAGGTCTGCCTCCCCAGTGGTGAAGAGCATGTGTCACCACACCAGCCCCCAGTTTTTAAAAAATTGCTGTGTGTGTGTGTGTGTCTGTGTGTGTGTGCACATGCGCGCGAGCGTGAGTGTGTGTGTATGAGTGTGTGTGTGTCTGTGTGTGTGTGTCTGTGTGTGTGTGTGTGTGTCTCTGTGTGTGTGTGTGTATGGGTGTGTGTGTGTGTATGAGTGTGTGTGGGGGGGTGTGGGGGTGTGTGTATGAGTGTGTGTGTGTGTGTATGAGTGTGTGTATGAGTGTGTGTGTGTGTCTGTGTGGTTGTGTGTGTGTGTATGGGTGTGTGTGTGTATGAGTGTGTGTATGAGTGTGTATGTGTGTATAAGTGTGTGAGTGTGTGTGTGTATGGGTGTGTGTATGAGTGTGTGTGTGTGTGTGTGTGTGTAGTAGAAGGCAACTTTTGAGGAGTTGGCTCTCTGCTCCTGCTCTGTGAACCCGGAAAGTTGAATGCTGGCTTCTCTGTCAGCAAATCCTTTACCCCTTGAGCCATTGCCTCAGCCCCCCCCCCCCCCCCCCCCCCCCACCCCCCCCCCCCCACCGCCTTCCTCCTCACATCTGGTTTTTGTTGTTGTTTAATTGAGACAGGGTCTCCCCTAGCTGAGCCTGTCCTGGAATTTGATCTGTAGCTAAGGACGGGCTTGAGCTGCTGACCTCCTGCCTCAGCCTTCTAAGTGCTGGAATTACAGGCACGAACCACCACTCCCATCCTTTTTAACTCAGGAGGGGGGCTTTAAAATTCAGATATGACTTGGCTCCAAGGACTGACTCACGTTCATTGAAGTCATGGAAGAGCCCCATGTGTGATGCCTGATGAAACCGTTAACTAATGAGCCAAGCCTGAGCATCCTGACCATCTTAAGCCAAAAACTGAATTCCTTCCACCACACTGGACCTGGGCTGGGGGGTGGGGAGGGCAAGCTCTGCTGCAGCAGAACTTCTCATTTGTGCCCTGAAGGAGAGCAAGCATGAATGTCTGTCCCCTCTGGCTAGAGACTACCTTATCAGGCCTGGCAGCGGTGAAGTGGCAGAGTTGGCAAGGACAGGAGCTCCAGAGCAGTTTCTAGGGGTGTGGGGAGGAGATGGAGCATTGTAGAGCATTGTAGTCCACGCTTGGGACGGTGTGTCATTGAAAAGGCAGCGGCTGTCGGGTCCCCTCTCACTGAGGCTAAATGCAGAGCAGAGCTTGTGGGTAAGGCAGTGTGTGGGGCAGCTGCAACGCTGACCGTTTCCATGCTGTGCCTGGTCACCATCTGTCACCATGCCACCCAGCATCCTTCCCTGTACACATGGAGAAGAGCCCAGCAGCCCTCAGGGCGTGGAGATCCCTGGGGGAATGGATGCTGCAGTGAGGAAGACATGTGGGTGACCTGCAGACTCGGGTGACCTGCAGATGCGGGTGACCTGCAGATGCGGGTGACCTGCAGAACGCTCCGGGTTCAGCTGTTGTCTGAAAGGGATGTGGCTCCTCACAGCAGGTCAAGGACAGACCTTGGGAGGCCCAGAATTTTTGCTTGCTCCTTGGGAAGCTGGTGCAGTGGACACTGTCAGCAGGTTCATCGTGGCCCCTGGCGTCTGTGCTTACAGGGCAGCCTCTGGGGACAGTGGCCTGGAGGAACCAGAAGCCAGACAGAGCAGTGTGTGCAAAGCTTCCTCAAGGTGGCCGTAATCCTAGCACGTGGAAGGTGGGGGCAGGAGGATCGGGAATTCAAACCCAGCCTCTGCTACACCAGCGCTAGCGGTGTGAAACCCAGTCTCAAGAAAACAGGACGACTAGGTTGGTAAAAGCTTGCAAGTGTGAGGACCTCCGTGTGGACGCCTTAGACTCCGAGTTACAAGTCTGGATGCAGCGTTGCCCTCTTGTAGTCCGGGTGCTGCGGGAGCAGAGACAGGCAGGTCCCTGAAGCACCCTGGTGAGTTAATCTGGTTTCCCTGGTAAAGTTCTGGGCCAGTGAGAGACCCTGTCTCAAACAAAAGGTGGCAAGGGCCTGAGGAGATACACCCATGACTGTCCTCTGACCTCCAGAGGTACAAACACATGTACACACACACACACATACATACACAACACACACATAAACACATACGCATACACACATACACACTCACACACACACAGCACACACACACACAATACACACTTGAACACATATACACAGCACACATACACACATACACACTCACACATACACACTCACACATACATACACAACACACACATAAACACATACACACTCACACACACACTCACAGCACACACACACACAGCACACACTCACACACAATACACACTTGAACACATATACACAGCACACATACACACACTCACACATACACACAGGCACACAAACATGTACACGCATGCACGTGCTCACACACACACATGAAACAGAAGAAATAGTTACAAGCACACTAACTATGGACTTATGAGGGGCAAGACGCTAATGCATTGCCTTGAATTCTCCATGGCTGAGCAGGGCACAGCCATAGTGGCCCACGCCGTTAATACCAGCACTTGGAGGCAGAGGCTGGGGGATTCTGTGAGTTCAATGCCTGCCTGGTCTACAGAGTGAGTTCCAGGACAACTAAAGCTACATACTGAGACTCTATCTTGAAACAAAGAAACTAATTTTTCCATGGCTGGATACCCTGTATGGTAGCCAAAGTTTGTAACCTCCACCCTCGGGAGACAGAGGCAGGAGGATCACGAGTTCAAGGCCAGTTTCAGCTACTGAGCAAATTCTAAATCAGTCTGGATTATGTGAGACTCTGTCTCAGAGGAGAAAAATATATCAAAATATATTGTATGAGACAAGTATTTTTTTTCCAGTTTAAAAAAAATGTATCTCAAACTTGGAAATACTGCTATTCTTTTGAATACCCACCCACCCACCACCCTTTTTTTTTTTTTTTTTCAAGTTGGGAATTTTATCTGCTGGATGTTCAAAAAAAAAAAAAGAAAGAAAAGAAAAAGAAAAAGAAAAATTTCCAAGCATTCTTCCCGACTTTGCAAGTAACTGTTTACTTTCTTTTTCTCCTGTCTTCAGGGAAAGACCCAGGAAGGAATGCGAACCTTCCATATGCCAAGAAGTTCTAAAAAGATCAGTTTCGATTCCTCAGAAGCTGTATTGAGGAAGACCCAACAGACCCAGGGGACAGATCCTTGTGGCCAGCAACAAAAGGAAATGAAACAATATAAAGAAAATGTTTTGCAGGGTTTGTGTGCTTAACACGCTCACACAAGACCAGGTGTGCTTCAGAGTGTGGTGTGTGTGTGTGTGTGTGTGTGTGTGTGTGTGTGCTTAACACACTCCATACAAGACCAGGTGTGCTTCAGAGTGTGTGTGTGTGTGTGTGTGTGTGGGGG